CTCCAAAATTTTTTAGACGGTAAAACCTTCACCTCAAATGAGGAGGTCAAAAACCTCCTCGATCAGTTTTTTGCCAGCAAAGACCAAAAATTTTATGAGCGTGGAATTATGCTACTACCAGAAAGATGGCAAAAGGTGTTGGACCAGAACGGTCAATATATAATTTAAGTATTTGTTTATTATACGAAAAGTGTCTTTCATTTCCACAAAAAAAAAAAACGAAATGACTTTCCGAACAACCCTATACCTTTCATTTCCTCCAAAAGATCTCCATATGCCGGCTATTGTCGCCGCTGTGGCTGTTGGCGTTGTTGCGGCCCTTTCGTGTTTTAAATGAAAACGTCCTCCAAGTCTTCGGAATTGATCAGCTTCCGGGTGCTCGGCGGCAAAACGGGCTTTCTTTCTTAACAGTTGTATGGTTAGTACGTATGTCACAACCATTATCACCATGGGCATGTAGAATGCCACTAGGGAGCCGAAAACGAAAAAGGCCCTATTGTTTATTACGCACACGCGGGGCCTAGGCATTATGTTGTCGTGGTTTATTATACCTGAAACACAAAAATGCTCGTCAAGAAAAAATCGTTAAATTTTTACTGTCATCTGTATAAGTTTAGCGTCTTTTAATGTTAATATTAATAATAATACTGACTAAGAAAACGTTAACAAAAACAAATACAATTTATATACAAAAATGAACTAGAATACGAAATACAAACAAATAACAAAAATGTACAAAAAGAAAAATGGAAACACAAGTAGCAAAAGGGCACAAGGAGAATGAAATAAACATACGAGAACAAGTGACAAAAAGAACAAGATAATACAACAGTAAAAATAACAAAAATAACAAACTAAAAATAATGTAGATAATAGAAGAAACAACTTACAAACGGTAGTAGAGACTGTAGACTGTGTATAGATATGAATTTTTCGTAGTACTTATAGGACAAGGTTCTTAGTAAATTTGATAGAATAGTTTAGAAAAAAAAGTAATAAGAGTGAGGGTGAAGACACTGGTTTATAGAAATACGTAGAATTAAACAGTATAGAATTCAAGAGGAAGCAATTAATGGTAAAACCAGATATTACTATAAGAATACATAGCATAACGAATAGGTAAAAGTGATTGAGAGACAATAGAGTTTAGATTGAAAGGAAACCAAGGTATGCACAAGATAAGAATTTGAAAAGAATTGAAATAATATTTGAAGTGATACAAAAGTACATTTCAAAGAATATTAAAGAATGCTTAAGAAATAGTATTAAATATTTACAAAAAATGTGTATTTTTCCGCCACGTAAGTAATGTAACGAAAGTCAGGATTTCTTATTCGCATTAGTCTACATTACTAGATTTCTTTTGTTTGTTTTTCTCCATCCTTACGGCCGAGATTCCGTCAGAAACTAAGTAATTAGTGTAAGAGTAATTTCTTACGAAAATCGTCTTTTTACTTTGATTATATGGCAATTAAGTCGTTTCCCATTAGCGTAAAGTGTATTGAAGCTTTTGTTTTGTCCATCGACGGCTTTCTTAGTGCAGCGGAAATGTAAATTTGCCATCGGTGAGCCATAAAGGTCGTAGGTAGTGTGTGTGTGCAAGCGCCATTTGAGTTGCATTGCAGTCTAATCGTAAGAGTTAGAGTTTCTTATACGGGACTCGACTCGACTTCTACGACATACGCTACCACGTGCTCAGGCGAAAAACAGTGAAAAGGCATTAGAGCAGAATTATCTCTAAGAACATCTCGTTCAAAGCTGCGAATGGAGAGATGCAACCAGATTCTTATTGTTCCACCTTTAAAGGTGATACGTTACTTGTTCATGCGGAGGTGCAATTTCAACTGTTTAAATAACGTTGTGCACTACAAAAAGACTTAGATTTGAACTTCCGGGGTTGTCTGCAGGGGGCTCGATATTCGTAATCAATGATTGGGTTCTCTCCCTTCGGTGAGTTTGCCGATGGATTGATTGAGCGCACGTGAGCACAGCGAAGGAAGTTACATTCTTTGAGGATGCCTATACAGCAGCTAACGAAACGTCGGATAAACGACTCCATCGGTGCACTCGCCGAAAAGGGAGAGCCAATCCTAAACAACGTTATTAATAAATAGCAGCAGTCAGTAACAATGAAAGATGCAGTAGACACTATAGAAGTAGAAATAACTGATAGCTTCGAAATCATATCACAATAAAGTAACATCTGTATGCTAGTCTTCGTGTGTCTGAAGATGAGATTCAGGGACTCTTCATGAATAAAGTTATTACATTCGATACGACGAAGTTTTTCCAGGATTAGTAGAACTGTTACGATAATGTGTAGTTAAAATTGGTCATCTCTTGTTATTGGGTGATCATTTTTACAATGTTAAAAAGAAATCGTGAAATTATATAATAAATTGTAGGATCTGAATAATGCACAACAGTTCACTAGCTTTTCAGTTGAGTCTTATCACAAATTTTACCCAACTAAACAGTTAGCCGACAGTCCTACAACATAGGACAGCAACGTCTGTGCGCGTACTTGACGACAGAATAGTTCAGTTTGTACTTTTGTAATTTTAAAAATAATAACGATTCGTAGTGGCTATCATAGATGGAAAAGCAGATTTTACCGAAAAGTTGAAAAAAAACCAGCCTTGTACGACAAAAGTAAAAAAAATGCAGTGATTGTAATGCGAAGGAACTTGTCACATTCATTATGTGGAAATTAAAAAGTTTTTTAGGATATGTACGCAAATCATGATTAAACTGGTTCCGCAGTAACCATTGGTTGGTTATTGGATGAATCCAGTATCTTCCAGTCCATCGCCAGTCCCATTTAATATCTCCTTACAATCATTCAAATCTTTACTTTCCTCATATCCTCCCAGCACATGCATCATTGTTTCATCTCCCCTTTCACGTATCGTAAATATCATTTCTCCTTCTCTCATCCAATACTTACATTTTCAACATTCATTTTCTACTCTAAACCTTGAAAATACTTCCACCTCCTTCGTTCTATTCAGATAGTCTGGCAAACAGTCTCCCTATCAATGCCCCCATAGCAACGCCTTTAGACATTCCACATATCTCGACTTATCAATACTTCTTAGGTCTTCTACTCACACCAACTAAACTGTCATTGAATAGTTTAGTTATAGTGCGCGCGTAGCCTAATGAAATGTATTTTAATAACGCATTATTGAATTTTCAGAGTTGACTGACTGAGCTTGTCTGCTATTTTTGCAGCAAAAGAGATTGCAACAATTTTTTTTATCTAATTATTAAAACCGTTTATTGTCCAGAAGATAATAAATACATGTGTTTGCAGACGTAATAATCCAATTCTGTGCCAATCGTACAATTTAGAAATAAGTCAATTTAGGCAATAACGTTTAAATAGGTGCGTAAATATTCCCAGCTTTGCTATTCATTTTTGTTTAAACGAATCGTGAAATTGATGAGCTGTAGAATGTTAAAATTGTTGCCAGATTACATTATCGCTTTGTAAGCCATTTATTCGCAGTTGCATTATTTCCCCGAGCTAGCGGCCGATTTCATTAAAAGTAGTCGGAACGCTGCCCCACTTTTGCAGAGATACGTTTTTACCTTGCTTGATAGTGTGATAAATGGAAACGAAAGTGAGAAAATGTCGTTTGTTCCTATAATAAAACTCTAACAGCACATTTGTTTGATTGGCTCCCTCAAAAGGCTCTATAAATAATACGACACATAATGAGTGCAATCTTAACAATAAATAGGTATTCGTCAAAAATGAAGTGTAAATTTTTATCGCTATATAACGAGCAAAATTAACTTATTAATCACTTTTGGCTTTGATTACACTTTGTGTTCTTATATATAGAAATATTTTATTAAATGAGATACCTTTTCATCTCAAGAAGCAATTGAATAGAAAGCAAAATCGAAGTTTTAGTACGGTAATTTAATAACCTCTCCGAGTAACTAGCCTGCAGTTTTATATCATTAATGCGATAAGTCATGACATTCAGTGCTATCAGTGTCTTCTTGAATTGCAAGATGCTAGGTTGACATTGAATCGTTAAAGTTTCAAGTAACTTTTCTTTCCATTGAATTGCAGATCCTGTCGAAAAGCTGTAACTTCTTTGAGCAGTGAAATAAAGTTAAAATATTCAAATTCGATAAGTGAATTAAACAGATATTCTCATCAAAGAAATGGTTCTCTTTTATTATCGAAAGGAAACTCGATAAGCTTATAATTCCTTTGCTTGCATTTAAATGGCATTTTAATATTTAAACTAAATTACTGATAGAATTTTCATTAAAAATTATCCGTTATGGAACGTGTTCTCTCAGCTTGTAACTGTCTAATGACTTACAACTTTTGATACGTATATCTAGTCGCTTATTGTAGATCTGTTTCATTTATTTTATTTTTTGTTTTACTCATTTTTGCTGTCTCCCTTTTGTTTATTTATAATTCAGAAGTAAATATATTCCAATTTGGCATGAAACATTTTAGATATCTACTGGTCGGATAATAGTATTTGGTGTGCATTTATGTTACTTTCTTTTCTTTAACAATTTGGAAGTACCTACAAACAAAATTTTCCTAGCAAAGTCAGATAATTTTGTGTACGTATAGTTGAATGATTCAATTTCCATAAAATAGGTCACAGGTAGCCGGTTAACGTATATTCTTCAGTCCCGTACATAATAATGTGTAGCACTTTAACTTTTCAAATACGTCCAATTGAACAATTCGGGATCTTGCACATGACCTTTTTAGCCATCAGAAACGTGCTTACTATCGAACTACTAAAGTTTAGCTGTTGATTTTTTCTTTACTTTCGACTCATGCACGTTAATGTTTTCCCAGGTTCTTGAAAACTCGACAAATAAATTGCTATTTATGTATTCACCGACGATAAATAAGTGTATACCGTAAAAAAGGATAACTCTCGAATATAGAAGGATTCAAGGTGTCCTTCTTACTTCCACTGTCATAAAATCATTTACTTGCAAGATATCAGAGAATGGTAGATTGAAAAGTTCTTTCGATTTCCTTACTTTTGTAAGTTAGTCGCACCCACTCCCTTTATACAGTCATAATGTATGTGCCCTTCGGGCTTTCCTCGCAAGGACATAAAGTAGGACATTTTATCTTTTCTTTAAGGGTACTTTTTTCTTCCTTTTATAGCAAAAGGTATCCTAAGACGTTTCGAGCAGGAAACCTTTTTTTGAGATTAACTTGTTGGCAGCGATAAAAAATTATACGATTTTCCGAATTAATTTTATTTAATTTACTTTCTTTACGGTACAAAAAAAAAAGACATACCCAATAACGTAATGCTGCTCGACACTAGCATGGATAATAGCCAGACTAGGGCTATCCTTAGGATGATTGTCTTGGTGGTTGTACTATGTCTAGTTTTCAATGGATTCCGAATGCCCAAATAACGACCTAGGCTTATGAAGCACATGTGCATTATAGACGCAGAACATGCTAATACGTCACATGTGACGTAAACGTTGCACCAAAACACGCTGAACGGCCAATAACCTGAAATAAAAAAAAATTAGTGTAACAAATAAACAATAAACATATCAGCGGGATTGATGTTAGTAAACTATTCACATATGAGAGTAGAGTCTTTATATGAATTGTTTTATTTTAGGTCGAAACACCCTGTAGTTACAGTTAGAGAGTATGTTAGAGCGGGTCATTATTGTATCGACTATATTCCGTCGGCGAATGCTGGTCACTTATTTATGCGGCTATGGGATATTCCTGATTACTCGTCTAACAGGGCTTTTAGGTGAATCAGAGATCCTGCCGGTATCGATCGCCTGCGGCGTTCGTTCGTAGCAGTGTCCAAAAAAACTAGAGATAGAGTAACAACTACGTAATTGTACGGCGAGAGTCGTAAGAGCGTCACTAAGTTGTTCTAGGCAGTTCACTACAAAGTAGGGCAGGGATTATCCGATCTGACTCATCGGTGAGGAGATTTAGTTTTATATTTTGTGTTTGGTAATTGACAATACTGAAATTGATACACTGTCGCTCATCAAGCAACAGATTTGTGCGTTTTCTGTTAGTAGTGACGCTTTTCAGACCTATTCGTATTAGATTGCTCCTATTTCTAGTCTTCTTGTCAGTACTTATCTTTGAAACTAATTGCAAAGAAAGATTACGTAATACGAAACCCTCGACGCGTTAAACAAAATTGTATTTATCCTTCCTTTATTGGTACTCACTTTTCAAATATAGTGTCGGTTATGAATGTAACTAAAGCACTGATTGTCAAAAGACAGTGTCAATTATAATACCATATTGCTATTTGTAGGATTACTAGTGTTAATTGCTAAGGGTTTTTACTGTCTGTGGAACACTTCAATTAATTTTGTGTGGCTTGTATGACGAGAAACACCAGGGAAATGTAATTACCAAAATCCCTTGTGAGTCGCTTTTTGATTTAAATACATCTAACGGTAGCTCTTTGATTTCTCATTCCGATTAAAGTTAATAAACCATCAACTAGCGCAAACTGGGCGTCAAAGAGGTACTAAAGTAGGACAATCTTTAGTGTTTCAGAATTACTTTCATTACAAAAACAAGATGAGTCTCAGGTCTTCATGTAGCAGGCGGTATTTTTATGTTTTTAAAAGTCGAAGGCAAGCCCACGCGAGCACCATCGTGGATGTTATTACAGCTAAACGCGTTTTAAAGTTATCTGCACATACGCGAAACCTTCGAGAATGTCTAAACAACTGCAGCAGCACTGAAGTAGAAAACGTAGCTCATGCATTTTCTAAAGAATCTGTTCCAGAACTTAACGAGTGCATTGTGAAAAGACGTTTTCTGCGAAGGTTGTAGTTCATGTGCAGTGAATTATAACATAAGTTAAACGAGTAATAACAAAAGCGTATGAATATATGGAAATATCTATATACCTCTATGTATACGATGCGATGCAGAAAATAGAATACATCAAAACACAATTCTGCTATTATTTAGATCTTAACAAAAACATAAATGTGAAAATGGGCCAAGTTCGGGGCTGTTAGTTGAATTACATTCCTTGATATTTAATTTATAGCTTGCTAAGTTTTAACAATTAACAAATTACGCTACTTTTGACGTGATTAATATAATTAATTTGAGTTGTTAGAGGGAGCTTTATTAAACATGAAAAATTGCAAATATGCAGGTGTAACAGTTATGGGATGAGGGTTGAAAGTAGCTGCAATGTATATTTTGATTAAGATGATGCCAGAGGAGGAAAAACTGTGAAGATGTATTCTGTATAATTAAAACACGAAACGTACGTATGTATACATTTCTTACATCTGACCGATTAAATGAAAATCACTTTATCAAATGGATACTTAAGAAATGTGCGTGAATTTCTATGATTTTCTTTTTGCGACAATTTCGTAGTATGCTAGATGTTCATGTATATCCTTTCCATGTATATCGTAAAAGTATATTACTCTGCTGATAGTAATAAACTAGGATTCTGGATCTGGAAGGAAATTTTCAAATATAAACCTCATTTCCGAAAGAAGAATATAGCGACTAAATCAACTACCGCCTGTAGGATCGTTTATTCCCGAATATTATCTACACTCACTAATTGAACGCATCCAAATAAGGACCATTGTCTATCGAGCATTAGTACACATTACTATAATGTAGTGATCCCCGACACTATAACTTAAACTGACTCTTTGGTGCGCAGTAGTTTTCTTGCGCCAGGTGGCAAATTCTGCCTCATCGTAACCTAACGTAAGTCGTTCTATAATCTGGACCAGCCCTAGTAATAAAACGCTCGAGAGATTTATAAGTTTATTTTGTTAAATGACCGTTCGAACTTTATTTAGTGATAATATTAAGGGACAATAATAATCCTGAAATTCAACAAAACGATTAACTTTGATAGTGATATTTTACTGAGATATTTGAATGGTCACTATTCTGTTTTACAATATCTGAAAATACCCTTGAAAAATTCGGTCACTATTTTAGTTGGTTGAAATTTTACGAAACGCTAGTTGTTACTTCAGGTACCTTTTGCTGTTTTTCTACAAGTTTTAACTGAAAAGTGCAATTATAAACACTTCTGTTGACGGTAAACTAAGACTAACATACAGACATATACTTCGTTTACTTTCTGCAGCGATGTGACCTTCAGTTTGACCGGCACAAAGTAGAAAAGAACAACACTAGGCGAGAAAAGGAAGGAGACAACTCTCGGCCAAACTCTTAACCGATGAGGAGCATATAATCCGTACAGTACTGCACGGAAAAATTGACCATTTTATCCACAACAATTGCATTGCTCAAATGTGCTGTTATTAGTACCAATTACTACTGAAAATATCAACGAGATGTTCATTTATATTTGAAGACATATTAAAGGCTTTAACGCTTGTTTTCGACTCGCACTACTATTCATGATTGAACAAAACTTTTGGCAGGTACTGTATGAAAAAGTATGTTTAATGAACAAGAGTCGAAAGTATAATGAGCTTTTTTCTCCCTACCTACGATTTTGCCAGCGCGCATCCAAGACATTGGAGTGGGCACATCGCTAGAGAAAATAAATGAAGTATACCTACGGTGTAACATTATTATACATATATGAATCTCTTCACAAGAAGCGTTATTAAGCAGCAAAAACCGACACGGGTAGCATTCGACTATCATGTGAGAGAAAAATACTGATAAGCAAATATTATTGGAAAATAAAAGATTAACGATCCTGGAAACTAATTACAATGACAGATGCTTTTATAGTTCCCATGATTCTCACATCAGCTAGTCCGTGGATTTGTTTAGGCACATATAAAAAATATTATTGGAGTCGTTTGTGCTCGAGTAAAATTTTAATTGCAAACTTTAGTGGTGGCGTTATTGTGACCCTTGCGCCACGTTATAATTTCAAATTAACGGCCTCTCGTTCTCAGAAAAACTTCTACGACCAGTTTTGTTCTTCATTTCACTAAACGAGCAGTAAACGATAAGTCCCTGCTCCTGCTTCTGCTTAAGCGCCTCTAGTAATTATTACGCTATCACCATATCGGACACTTAGACGGGATGATATGAAATTAAAACGTACGTAATGAGGATCTTTCTGGCATAAAAATACATCATGCGAATAGTTTTGCAGCAATGAATTTTTAAATGCCCTTTTTATGTTTTTGAGAGTGAGATTTATCTGCAAAAATAATGTACACCGACTTATTTAATTTTTTTATGGAAAATTCACCTATTTGCAGTGACGACGGACTCATTAAGTAATAGTGAACATTAATAGAATTTTCGTATAGCTTACAAATCGTTGGCTGGTTGTATTGCTTCATGACAGTGCAATAAATTTTAATTCAAAGAAAACATTGCCACGTTTTTGTACGGTTCTGTTCAAATCTGAAAACATTCGAACCGAATTTCTCTTATTTCATAAGAGAGCAATAAATATTTTGTAGTTACGTTGAAAATCTCGAAGCAATATATGTATGCCGGAAAGCGGTTTGTAATAATTCTGTCGATTGTCATATTACAGGGATGGATTTTTCTACTTTTCTTTGGTTATGCACGCTAACTCAGGTAAAAACTTTCGTATTTGTTACAGAAGCGGATGTAGTTTTGCAGTCACAAATCTGAATTCCGGATATAACGACAGTATATTCTTAAAAACGGAATTCTATTCAGGTTCGATTGTTTGCACAAATTTTCCCTAATCAATAATTATCGATACCTATTACAACTTTTGGTGATCGGCTCGATCTCAACTTAAATTTTTTTCGTTGTTCAAGCACTTCAGTTAGTTACCGCAATATATACATATCTTACTAATTCAGTTAGCTTTTACATATTTATTTGTGTTTTATATGAACCTATATATGTATGGATGTACGTATGCCGGTTATAGCGACTTTTCACCGGTTGTTTGGCGATCATTAAAACTCCATTTTGCTGTGTATCTCACGGCCAATCAATGTATAGCAATACAGGATGATTACAAACCAAGAATTATTACGGCAATTTTGAAATTTGTTTTATTTGACCATGCTGAGACTTTACATTGTTTCCCAGTTTCTCCTCTGGCAGATTAAGTAAGGTGAGATGTTCCACGTACAGTAAGACAATGTGACTAGCATGTCTCACTCTGATTAATGCCTACCTCCCATAGTAATAAGTAAGCTCAAGATAGCCACCAACTTCAAGGACCCGTAGCATTAAGCAAGGATAAATACCGTGCAGGTATGGCAATTGTAGGGAAGTTGTACGTTGTGGAGGAAGATTTACTGCAGCCATTTAACATTTATACATACATATGTACGTATGTATGTAATTAAGTGTGTAACCAGAAAGGGTTACCATAAATTATGAAATTTCCTGCAGGAGAGAGAGAGAGACAGCAAGATAAAATGTGAAATTGCTGTGTGATATCAGGCTTACTGTATGTGTCGCGTCGATTGTCGATTTTATTGGTGCTTTGCCAACGTTTCGCCAGGATGTTCAGTAAATCATCATCCTCACGCTGAAAAACGGAATTA